ATTTTCTCCTTCTATGTCACCTCTCTCATACTTTCCTTAAAACAACCCCTTCTTGCCTTCATCAGGCACCACAATGTCCTAAAGCCTTTGGAAAAGCCACTCTCCACACATGATCTACCACAACTGCCAAGACAACCTTTTGTCTTTTATGCCACATTGCATTAATCCTCTCCTACTTCTCAAGCTCAGTAATGCTTTTAACTCACAATAAAAAAATTTTTTTAGAAAACACAAAACCAAAAAACAAAAAAACCAAAAACAAAACCAAAGTCAAAGCTGTCTGCATCCTTTACAAAAGAGGGTACACAAACTCCAGTGTTGAAACTGGCTACTTGGGGGCAGGCACTGGAGTCTGTCCATGCACATCCACTTGCAAGATCCAAATGCTCCCAGGCTTTCTATTAAGCACAGTGCTATCAAATAATATTCTTTAATATTATATAAAATATGGAACTATATCCTAAAATCCCATCCTAGGGTCTTGTTCTGATTACCCAGGGCCAAGTGTCCAAGTGTCCAAGTGTCACATTGAAAAATGGTACATTTAAAATAAGAATGAAAAAATGAGAAAAGCATGGGCAAAAATATTCCATGTAATTGGAGGAGGGAAATCAATTTGAGCAGCGTTTTCTTAAAAATAAAGGCACCTAAAACCAATCCAGAGATTCAGAAATACAGCTTTTAAAACCTGTCACCAGTGGAATAGGTCTGGAGCCAGGAATGAACTAACACTGACGACATCACCCTTTACCTACAGACAAACAGACCACAAAACAGGGGAAAGCCTGCCATGGCCAAGGGCTGCTGGTGGAGCCCCAGTCTGATCCAGGCAATTCCTGCCTCCAGGCTTTAGCCTCCTGCCAGCACGGGCTGTGTGGAACAGGTACAGGAGAAAAAGCCCAGAGGTGAAAGCAGAGGAGGGCTCAGGGCTGGAGTTTAGGCTGAGAAGCAGCTTGGTACCAGGAATAATGGAAGGGAGACCTGGGCTCAGGGCTGTGGGCTGATGGAGTTGGAAGAGATTCACTGGGAGAGGATCTTCATTTACAGTGACATTCTGGAACTTTCCTGGAACCCTGCAGACTGTCCAGCAAGCCAGCAAGGCAGAGGAGCAGCAGTGGAAGTTCTCTGCCTGAGATGATAAAGATACCCCAGCAGCAATGCAAAGGGCAGTCAGGTGTGCAGGGCCCCAGCACACAGCCTGCTGCACACACAAATCTGGTTTTCCATGTTCCGAACTCAGCCTTCCCCATGACTTCTGCAGTCATCACACTTAAGAATGTGATTAGCCCCAAAAAAGGGGTTAGAGCTGATCTTGTAATAGCTTTAGAGTCAAAGTAGCAAGACTAAACTGTTTCTTAATCACAATGACAGCCTTAAATAACTCACATGTTAAAAGCAACATTTCTCATCACCATATGTTCCAATGCAAGATAAATAAAAAATAATCTAATAATCAATCAAAAACAAATACACAGAAGTAATTATTCTGATACATATATTAATCCTGAATTGTTAATGCCTCCAAAAAATCAAAACAAAATGCAGTTTCAAAGGGGTTGTTCATTTACAGAGTCCTGCACTTCACAAGGAAAAAAACTGAAGAATTAGACCCTCAGTGACTACCACTGTTCCACACATACTAGAAGCACTTCAGATTCTCACCTAGCTCTTCTAAAAGACAGGCAGCTGCCTAAAACTCAGTGCAAGAAAAAGAGCTCAAGTTCATCTGTCATTATAACTGAAAACAGCCGGTTTCTTGGATTTTAAATTTTGGAAGGATGAAGAGATGTGGAGCTGAATAATGCATTCCAGTACCAAACTCCACAAGCAGTAGCTACCAAATAAATAGATTTATATTTTAAAAATATATTTAAAGTTGTTACTATCAAAGTAGCTTCACCCTTTAGTCAGCAGCCCTCAAGAAACAAGATTTGATAAAATGTCTGTCATTGTTTCACATGTACATTTACTACATGGAAAAGGTTTAGGAGTTTTGGAACAGACTTTTCTCCCCAAGTATCAACAAACTAAACATTCAAATGACAAAATCCTGTAATTATTCATGGCAGTATTTAATCATAAGGAACACCTTTATCAAAGCAAAACAGAGAGTTGGAAAACACACAGGAATGAGCTCCAACAAAAGAATCTCTCTGATCATTCCTTGCACTTTCTTGCCACCAGAAAGCTGTTAAGCTCCCAGGCACTAGCCCCCAGGACCATCTTGACCAGGAAAGGGCCAGGGCCATGCAAATGTGTTGAAGCCCAGGGCCAGGTTCCAGTTCCCTGGCTACAACATCTTTGAGATTTCTGCCCAGTGGGAAAAGCAGCTCCAGAACTTGATGAGATACAGAAGCTTCAGAAGACAGATGTCCTAAGTAAAGGTGGGCTTCCTGTTGGCCCTCTCTGACCTTCTTTTCAGCTTCCCAGCAGTTTTCCTTACAGGCCATTCATAGGAGTTTCCACAGCAATGGCACCTCAAGGTTTCCCAGCAGCCAAGCCAGCACAAGGAGCTGGTGATGCCTCTGATGCTGTTTGCTCCCCTCCAGGCTGCAGGCTCCAAATGTGCAACAATACCCCTGCCTGTACCTAGTTTAATACCACAGAAGCAGGCTCAGAGGGTAGTAAAGAATTACTTTTTCAACACTTCTATCTTTCATGATGTTAGCATGGTGTCCAGACACACCTCCACAAAGAATAAGGTCTCAAACAAGTATTTGTTTTCCTTATGAGATGTTAACTATTTATCAAAAAGACTTCTAAAATGGGATCAGATGCTTTATTCCTTGAGAACTCATATTTCATTCTTATTCCAGGAATATAAACTGAGGCCACTAATGCAACAGTACCTGACAGTACACTTTAAGGATATAATTTTGTTCAAATTCAAGTCACTGTAATGTTGCCTTCTGCTTTTGCCAGAAAGATACCAAACCCTGACAACTTTTGAGATCCAACAAAAGAACCCTGCAAGGTGCCCCTGACTCCCAAAGCTAATGTAAAATAACAATGGGCATCTTTTCCCATCTTCTTAAAACAGCAATCTCCATAAGGGATGGCTAGAATTCTTATTCACCAGAATAAGAAACAAGTCCCAAACCCTTTTAAAATCAGATTTATACAGAGATACATGAATAGACAGGCAACTTAAATCATTGCTCCAGCCCTCACTAGATTGAGATCATAAAAGGCACTCACCAGTTATCTGCTAGACAGCGATGTCCCAAAATATTTGTTTTAATAAAAGGACCAATTTTATTTTAAAACTTGGATCTAGCACATCCAGAAAAGGCCAAGATGAACAGCTCTCATTGCAATTATATAACTACAAAGTACTTTTAAAGACACAGGTGGGAAAGATGGTAAAATATTTGTGTGCCATCTAAATAAATTGTAACAGGCATATTTGCAGACATTCTCCTCTTGTCCAGCATCTGAAAAACTAAAACTTGTGGAAAAGCAGCTCATGACCAGAAAGAGCCAAGTGAGCTAATCTACACAAATGAACATTTTCAGATTACTATCCAGAGCCTGATCCTTGCAAATTTAACCTTCAGACCAACATCAGCTGTGTGCAGAAGAAAGTTTCAGGCCTCTGAATCAATTATTTGTTCTGCACAAGCAAGAAATCAGTTCTGACGTCAAGTTACCAACCAGATTACATTAAAAGAGTTATTTTAAAAATAAATGCAATGCAATTACAGTTAGCTTGGCACTTTGATTGTTTTCTTAAAATAGAAACTTTCTGCATTTTTACAAGGCTGAGCTGTGAGAAGCCTGCCTATACAGGATCTCTCTCTGGGAGCTGCCAAAACCAGGACTGCAAAAGGACTCAGAGGAACCTCTTCATACAAATAAGGCATAAATTATTCCTATAGCCACGATGTCCCCTTGGCAAACAGAGATCACTTGTGTAAGCTACAGCAGTGTCATTAACTCACCAAGAGATGGAAAACAAAACAAAGATTCAAGAGCCACAGCAAAGTAATACAAAAGGCCTGGTATTAACATGCTGCTCCCATAATGAAAGGAAATGTTTCCTTAAGAAAAGGTGGTTCCTCAAGAATTTAAGTGATAGATTTTTAATAAAACAATTCTAAAAAACTGTTGTAAATAAAATAACAGAAAGTTGCAAATATTTACACCAGTGGTTTTCTTTTTCGTTTGCTTTTTAGATGTCATTGTATTTGAGAAAAGACTGATAGCTTTATTAGATCAGGGAAACAAGTATCAAAACAAAATTGAGACACACCAAAACATAATCAATTCATGAATACCACCTGGCAAACCCACCACTGATCTATAGCACATTTTCAAACTGTCATTCAGGTAATCAATTACCAGGCACTTCTTTTTCCTCTTTTAAGCCCAGGAACTTTGGCCGAGCGGAGTGGATCTGCCAGATGCCAGCAGCTCAACAGCTGGTAGAAGTGCTCCCGCAGCTCCTCTTTCTAAAAATGTTCAATTTGGTTCACGACATCCCACGACAGCAATATAACAAAATCAAATCCCTCCTAAGCTGAGCCAGTCTGCCGGCAGAAAGCATCGAAGAATTTAGGAACAACTTGTAAAGCCGGTATAAAATTTTGTTTATTCTAAAAGTAGAATTTCCTTGGCAAATTAGTGCTGTCTTCATCGGGAATTCCAATCGCTGAACTTTACATAAAGCTACATCGGAAGCGGGAGGAAGTAAATTTGAAAAAGGGTTATAGTGAAAAATGTTCCTTGAAATAAACCGGAGACCTCAGCCGGAGACACCCACCCCGCACAGGCACCGGCCCGCAGCCGAGCAGCGCAATTTACCTTGGCACCGAACGAGGGGGACTCGCCAAGCAGGGCGGGGGCAAATCCTACTGCGAAAAATCTCCGGAAACTGAGCGGCCCACGGGGGAGGAGGGAGATAAAACAAAAACCGGGAAAGGCCGCGGCGCCCCGCGCTGTCCCCGTCCCCGTCCCCGTCCCCGCCCCGGGGCGCGCAAAACCCCGCGGCTCCCGCGTACCTGCACTGCGGAGAGTGTCGATGCTCTGCGGCCGGGCGGCGAGGTCGGCCACCGCCTGCGCGAACTGCGACCGGGCGCGCTGGTACTGCTCGAACACTGCGGGCGGCAGCGCCGGGGCGCCGGGTCAGCGGGCGGGCGGGCACCGGGCGGGAACCGCGCCAGCCCCGCTCCCCCGGCCCCGGCCCCGGCCCAGCCTACCTTGCAGGACCTGCCGCTGGCTCATGGCGGCGCCGGGCGGGCTCCGCGCGCGCGGGGATTTCCGCGCTAGGGACGCGTCTCCCCGGCAACCGGGCGGAAGCGGAGCCGCCGGGGGCGGGGCCTCGGCAGTGACGTTAGCGTGCCCGCCCGCCGCGCCCGGTCCCGCTCCGCCCCGCGGGCTCCGCGCGCCGCGCTGGGGCCGTGCCCGCGGGACCGGACGGGACTGGACGGGACGGGACGGGACGGGACGGGACGGGACGAGCGGCGGCTGTATCCGGCCGGCTGTGCCCGGCACCGGCCCCGGCCCCGGCCCCGGCCCGCACACGTGTGTCACTTGCTCACTGCCGGCGCAGGTGTGGGGATCGGCCCCTACAGAGGCTCCCGGGGGCGGGTGGACCGGCAGCTCCGCGGAGACGGGAGCGCCGCTGTGTCGCGTCTGTAGCACAAGCACAACACCTGCGGGACGGTATCAACACGACGTGGCATGAAAACGTGTACAGCGCTGTGCGCACTCACCTCTCACCGGCGGGCAGTGCTGCTCCCGGGGCACCGGGGAAGGCTGCGGACGGGCAGGGAAGGCGCAGCCCCGCGGGACGGCGCCGGGCTCAGCGCAGGGACGGGTCCGGGCCACAGCCGCGGCGCCGAGTCCCGCGCAGCGGAGGCTGGCGGGGAGCTGTCGGACGGCCGGACCGGAGCCTGTCCGCCCCCGCTGACATTCGGGAGCGGCGCCGCGGCCGCCCCGCCGGTGCGTATCGGTGGGACGCGCTGCTCCCCCGGGGGCGCGTCCCTTGTCCCGCTCCGCTGCTGCGCAACTTGCCCAGGGCTCGGCGGGCAGACGGGACAGACTCGGCGCTCTGGCGAAATCCAGCGCATCTCCCGGCAGAGAGAGGGTCCACCTGCTTGGCTCCCGCTTCCCTCCGCTGCCTGGGTGCGGAGGGAAGATAAAAACTAAATAAGAAAAATAAGGGCAGCTCCAAGCTGTTCGCCCCCCGACGCGCCTTTCTTCTTCGTGGTGTCCTTTGATTTTAGTTTTTTCTTTTCTATCTCACCACCGACGCGATTCCTCTTCGGGGATCTCCGCCCTTGCCTTGGCCGCCGCGACGACCCACGCAGGAGTTTTTTCGCCTCATGGGGAATAAACTTGTCCCGCGCAAGGCCGCGGAGCGCGGCGGGGCCGGGGCGGTGCGGGCAGCGCGGACGCGCAGGGGCGAGCCCGTGGGCTGCAGCCTCCGCCGGGAGCCTCGGGAGCGCGGCAGCAGACGCGCGGTGCCCCGCTGAAATAAAGGCTTTTCTCAGACGATAAACAGCGCAGTGAAAGGTGCCCCATCGCGCCCATCCGCAGAACACCCGCGCAGCGGCAGCTCCCGCCCCGCTCGGTGGCCCGGAGCAGCATCCGCGCTCTCGGTGTGGCGAGAGCAGCGCGGGAAGGGGCACGGTGGGGAGGGATGCTCCGGCAGCAGCCCTCTGGCTCTGCCTGGCACGGACACAAGTCATTCCTGCGCACTGTAATGGGGCTGGGGGCTGAGGGTATTTTTTATTTTTTTTCCACCAGCGTGTCATTCTGGTAGATAACCTGCGCACTGCCTTCCACTTTTTCCCATCTTGGTGGGGCCATAAGAACCAATTACGAACAATTCTCTTCATTACTGGTTGGCCGAGACATGGTTGCATCTACGAGTAAACACAACCTTGGAGGTCTGTATAGCAGCTAGTGCAAACGGTGGGACTGGATAATGAAATCAGTATTATAAGGGTTTGAAGAGAAATAGACTCTACATCTCCCCCAGTATCTTTTGAGGGCGATTCCCAAGACGCAGGATACTTGTGAACGAAGGTAATAGTTAGCTCTGCTATCGATCAGGCTGCTCCAAGTGAAATTGTGATCTACAACAGAAAATCAGACTTAATAGTCAATAAAGAATATCTCTTCCTGTAGCCACACATTATTGCGCAGTGGCTTCAAGATTTCATAGGCAGGTTATTTGTCCTGAAAAGCTGCAGATGTACAAAAATCAGACGACTGACACTATATAAACATATTATCTGCTAGGTAACATAAAGTTTTGTCTCATACCTTAAAGTTGGAATGCTGAAGGTACTTCAGCTGCCTTTTTAAAGTTTAGAAAAGTGTAAGAGAGACGTCTGAATTTTTTAAAACTCCTGTCTGTGTTTGCTCAGCTGAAAAAAGAGGGGCTAATATACACAATATTATGGTCTAAAATGAGCTACGTGTTTCCAAGAGTATTTAGTGCGGGGAAAAAAAAATCTCTTTAAGTAAACAAATTAAACAGGTGGTGTGCTATTCTTTACAAATAAAGGAGACAAATAAAATCAGATTGGTGAGAAGGTCGTTTGCCACAGAAAATATTTTGGGAAATTATCACCATGTGTACTTGAGAAGGGAACAGCTGTTAAACACATTTCTTTATACTTATTTCTGTTCCTAAGTTAAATAAAAAATAAACAAATGGTGATTAATTACTTCCAGAGGTTCTAAAAAAAAAAAAAAAAAAAAAAAGCAGATGTGTCGATTACAGATAAATTGATTTATCTGTCTAATTAAGTCTAATGTTTGGATAAGGAACAACAAAACGCACCCTGAGTGCCACCAAGACTTGCCGTTACACTTCGTTGCTTGATACTAAGCCTGTCGGCATGGTTAATAATAATAATGAGGAATAAACACCATGCAAATGCGGTCTACGGAAATGTCACCGGTTCTCGCAAAAGTACTGAAGACGGAAAATCATTTATGGAAATGACGTAGTTGTGAGACTTCATTGCCTACTGCTGGGGTGCTCATTAGTAGGAAACCTGTATCCTTGAGCGGGTGGTGTTAGTAATGACTGCGTTACCGCACACGTCAGCTTAAAAAATAAACCGGAGACCAGGGGAATAGGCAACAGCTACCTAAAGGAATAATGTGCCTTCGCTTTCCGGTGGGTGTTCTTTAATCTCAGGCTTTGATTCACTCGGAAATACGCCCGGAACGTGGCGGGGGAGCCTCATTTTCCCCGAGACGGGGAAGGGCGAAGTTGCTCCTGGGATATTTTGGGGGTGAGGCGTGTCGAGGGCGTGGGTTTGCCCGGCTCGGTCTCGTCCCCGCGGGTGCGAGGCAACAGGTGACAGCTCCGGGAGCTGCGGGGTGCCCCCGGCTGCAGCACCCCCCGGCTGGAAGGGCGCTGGGTGGCCGGTCCAGGATCGGGCTCTGTGCCCCCCGACGGCTCATGCCCCGCTGTGCCCCGGCTGGCCAAGCCGCGGATGTTTCGCCGCAGCTTAAAGCTGCCCGAAGCCCATACGAAGGTGAGATCTGCCCGTGCCTCGGTGCCGCGGCTTCCCCGGCGGCTCGGGAGGCCCCCGGGACAGCCCGCGGGGCTGCGGGTCACCCGGGCTGTCCCCGGACCGCCCCCGTCCGCGGGCGCTGGGTCACCCCATCTGCCTCTGCAGGCTCTGCTCCTCCTGCCACCGCCCGGCAAATTGTTCAAGGCGTTGAGGAGATATTCACAGGGTTACAGAAATTAGGGGGTTTAATCCCGTATTTGCACGACTCGGCTCATTTGGTGGGAAGAGCAACGCGCAAACTCTCCCACGGATCGGAGTTGGACGTGCTGCGTTTTTAAAAGGCAGGAGTTTGAACCTGGAAAGGTTAGTGGGAGTGAATGGGATGTAGGCAACTGAAGTGCTCTCTCGGAAAGAATACACTGAGTGAAGACTCCCCAACTCCACGTATAACCTCTACTAAGATTAATTTGGATCCTTGAATAGTTTATTTTTCAAATTTAAGTTGGGCTGTGCCATTACCTGATTTTAGCAAAAACTCTCTCAGAGAGACCGTAGGAATGGAGAGCTCTCTCTTTTTTCTCCCTGAGCGTTGGCTCTGGGCTGCAGGGACTCACGGCATTCTAGGGTCCCCTCTCCGGATTTTCGGTAGCAAGTTTAGTTTGTAAGACCTTCCTATAGAGTAAATTATTTCTGTGAGGCGAAGACAGAAACGTCGAGGCACTTCAGACGCGCTAGAAAGAGGACTTCTCTTTTTTCTTCACCCAAGAGGACGACGCTGGCATTTGAACAGATATTTATAACAACTGTAATCGTGTAAACGGTACAGATTTGGCTAGTGGCAATTGGTGCATCACCATTAGAATCTGAAAGGCTGAATAAAAAGTTTAAGAGATAAATAAACCGGAAAATGGCAAAACATGTCAGATTGACTTGCAGGATGGGACCAGGAAATATTAGCTGGTAGGGCTGAACCCTTTTCACCACGCGCATATGGTTACACCTCTGGTTTCCTGCGGAACCGTCAGCGCCTGTGCAGTGCCATTAAAAAAAATATTTTTGGGACGTTCCAAAACTGAAAGCCGGAGCTTAATTTATTCTGGGGACTTGAAAGGAGCGAGGTCTTCCTTTGTGTCTGATGCTCCGGGGGAGGGTGTGTGTTGGCTTGGCGCTGAACGCTGCCCGCATCTACATATGTAAACCCAGCAGCGCTTCTCCCCCCGCGCCGGTCGGATTGCAGCTCTCAACAAAGCTACCACACAATGCGAAATGCGCGGAGCCTGCGCGGCTGCGGCTGAAAGCCGCTATTTAGCTCTTGATGTGGAAGGACCAAATCTGCGCGGTGCCCAGCGGAGCCCGCAGCGCGCCCCGAGGCCGTCCCGTCCTCCTGCACCGTTATTGTCCCCGGCTGCTGTGCTTAGAGGGGTGGGGACAGGCGGCAGCCAGACGACCGTATCCCGGTTTGCAGAAGAAGGTGTAACGGGAGGCGCTGGCAGCAGCAAAGGCTGCAAATCGCTGTCGTGTGGTTGCTATTAGCAACAAATCAGCTGAACAGCCTGCAAACCCCGAGCACCTAGGGCGGAGGTGGCAGGGAGAGCGCCGGGGCTGGGATGGCTGGGGTTGATGGGCGCTTTCCCGAGGGGACCTCCGGTGCCGCCCCGAGCTGCCTCCCTGCCCAGCCGAGGAGGGGCAGGGCAAGGGGAGATGCTGCCACCGCCGCGCACGGAGCTCCAGGAGAGGGGAAAGCCAACCCTCTTAAAAGAGACAAAATGGCAGCTCATGGCTTGTAGGCATCCTTCCCGGCGCTGAGCCCCTGCCTCGCCCCCGCCGGTCCGCCCTGCTGCCAGCTCGTCCGTGCCCGGGGCTGTCCCCGCCTGCCCGGCAGCGCGGGCCCAGCCCAGGGAGCAGCAGCGCGGTGTCCCGCGGGGCTCCGGCCGCAGCCCTTCGCAGCCAGCCCACCCAACCTAGAAATCCAAGTGCCATCCCTTCTGAAGGGACGCGTCCCCACCCGCTACATGGAAGCGCCCTTTGGCCGGGCGGAGCTGCGGCTCCGCGCACCGCGCACCCCAGCCGGGCTCTAGAACCGCGGAGTGTGTGCGCAAGCTCCGCAGCCCGCGCAGTGAGAGCCTTGCAGGGGCATCGCTCACTCAGCATTCCTGCACCTTGGCCATGCCTTCCTTCCAGCACTCTGTTAGCGTAGCCTTTTGGGTATCTTGATTTCAGTTGTTTGGGCTTTATTCTGGTTTTTATTTTGTTGTTTGTTTTGTTGGAGGGTTTTTTCCCCTCATTTCCCCTTCAAAGTTTTGGGATTGTGTATGACAAGTTTTTGGGGGTTCTTTAGTGGAATGTGGGGATTTTGTTATTTTTTTAGGGTTTTGAGTTTTTTTTTTATTTTTGTGATTGAGTTTCTCGGGAACGTTTTTGTTTGGTTTGTTTTTGGTTTGTGGTTTTTTGTTGGTTTGGGTTTTTTTTGTAGACTCAGTCCACCTTGGAGGCCTCCATCAGCTGTACGATGTTGTCTCACAGATTAGAAAATACCTCGTTGAGAAGGCAACTCTCGAGCATCCCCAGCACATGGAGAAAGAGGAGTAAGAAATGTCACCGCTGGCAGCAGTGCCTGGAATCTCTGCGCTCAGCGGAGGCCCCAGGATGCGAGGCGGTTCCTCCCGGCCTCGGCCTCCTCCACCGGGGATGCGGCGGCCGAGAAGCAGCGGGGCCGCGGAGCCCGGCGGCGGGCGCTGGGGGGGGAAGGGCAGCTGGCAGCCTCTGCTATCGGAAAGTGCCTCCCTGCCACCGCGGAGTTCTCACCCGGCCGCTCCCGGAAAATGCACCCCTCCACACCGTGGAGAGCATCGGCGTTCGGAACGGGGAAGGCATCTGCCTGTCCCCGGCGATAGGAACATACAGCCCTTTGTCTCTCTAGCCGAGGTGCGATATTCAGCTGCGGGCCATGAAAATAGATACGCCAAATGGCTACCGCGACCCCCTCCTATCCCTCGGGGAGGTGGGCTCGCCCCGAGGCCCCGCGGTGCCCCGGGAAGGGCCGGTGCCGGCCACCCTCAGCGGGAGGCGGTGTGCTTGCGGCAGGGCGAACGGGGACACACGGCAGCGGCGCCCCGCAGCTGGAAAACCCGGAACGTTCCCGTCCCGCTGCGCCCATTCCCAAATGCCCGGGCTGGCTGGAGCACCCCAAAGGCCAGGAGGCGGGGGAAGCCAGACTGGACGCGGGACGGTGCGGAGCCTGCGGCGGCACCGCCGCACCTCAGCGGAGCGCGGCTGCGGCCGGGGGTGCAGCCTGCCAGGCGTGCACGCCGCACCCCGGCCGGACCGGGCACGGCCCGAGGGCTGCCAGAGGCGCGACGGTGCACCCGCCGCGGCCGCCGGCGGAGGCCGATGGGGCGGCGCTGGCGGGGCCCGGGCGCGGCGGGCGCGGCCGGCGGGTCCCCGCGGGTCCCGCTCCGCGCAGCCCCGTTCGAATCTGGCGGCGCGGGGGAAGTTCCGCGGGCGCGAGAGGTGCGCAGGCGCAAGATGGCCTCTGCCGGGCGCGGGGGGCGCGGAGCGGGGCGGCCCGCCCGTGAGGGGCAGCCCGCGGGGGCCCGGCCGCGCCCGCCGCACCGGCGGCGCCGAGCGCCACGTTTCCACGCCGGCTCGAGAAGCCGCGTTCCCGCCGGCAGAGGCGACGCGCAGACAAACGCAGCAGAAGCGCAGCTCCAGGCTGGGCTCTCGGGGCGGGCAGCGGCCGCCCGCCCGGCGGCGGGGAGGCCCGCGGGCTCCTCGCAGCCCTGGGGCAGCGCCCGCCCCGGCACCGCCACTCGCGGCCTTTCCGTGACTGCCGCTGTCTTGCCCGTCGCGGCCGCGGCTTCGCGGCAGCGAGCGGGAATGAGTCCCTCTCCGTGCCCAACCCCGGCAGGAAAACCTCCTTTGCCGTGGGTGTTACGTGTCCTTCGTGCTCTACCCGTTGCTGACATTATTATTTTTTTTCTTTAACCCACATCATCACTGTTAAATAAATACAAATATCCCATCCCCAAAGACGGCGAGACCGAGAATTGCCTGGTCCACACCGGGCTTTACAAGTGTTTCTGTTCTCCTGGCGGGACTCCTCGGTCGCGGGGAAAGTGAGTGAAGGAGCCAGAGTTGGAAAAAATCCTCGCTGCCAGAATCCTTGCCATCCTCGAGTTAATAAAACACAAATCAACTGTGGGTCGGAGCTCCGGGAACGGGGCAACGACATTGAGCTGCAGAAAGCGGAGATCCGCAGCCCTTGGGAGGTGAGGACAGGTTCTTCTCCAGGCGTCCTCCGGGTAAGAGAAGGGCACAAAAGATGAAAAATAAACTGTTTATAGTAAAATAAAGGAAATCCGTTTCAAGTACCCAGAGTAGGAGCAAGAACGTTAAAAATTAACAGCGGAAACAGGAAACACTTATCTGAGTAAACACTGTCTCAGAATTTCACCGTTTTAAAGTCGGGAGGGCGCGAGGTGCTCGGCGGGGCCGCCGCCGCCCGCCCGTTCCGGGGCCAGAAATCGGAGCCCGGCACGACGAAACAACCCGATCCTCGTCAGCCAGTTTGGTGGCAAAGATCGGAACTGCAGGAGTTCCTGCGTGGTGAGAGATGAACAGTCCAAAAGTGATGTTTGGAAGGCAGGAGCAGTCGGTCGCCGGGGCTGAGGAACCGGCGGTTCGGGGCCGCGGCGAAGGAAAAGAGGCGCAGGGCTGGCGGCGGCGGAAGGAAGGAAGGAGAGTTCGCCCCGGTACCGGCTATGGAAGACTTGCTTTGGGCGCGCTTTGAAAATCCCCAGCGACTCCTGGGCAGCGGTGCGGCGGCGGAGGGGACGGCGGTGGCCCGGCGGCCGCGGCCAGAGGACCAAAGGTATCGCCGGGTCGGGAAGGGCGCTCGCCGCTGCCGCTGCCTCCGCCGTCGGGTTTCTATGCCCCCTCATCATTCGAAAATGGGGGAGCATCGCTTTCTCACGGTGTTTCCTGGAGTTTCCCCGGTGCTGCCCGGGTCACCGGCGCCGCCGCCCGCCGCTTCCCTCTCCTGCCCACGGGACGCCGCCGGTGTCGGAAATCTGCCGGCGGTACCCGCCCGCCAGCGTCGGCTTTCTGGAAGTCATGGGCGCAGGTTGTTGGGAGAAATGGTCAGTGCTGGGGGACAACCATCGCGGCTCAGCAAGCTCGTCATGCTCCTCTTTCTCTCCCGGCACGTTTCTTCATTCCGTCTCCCTGTTTCTGCCCGTCTTCTCCAGAAGCGTATGGAGCTTTTCATGCTTCCTCTCTGTTGCTTTCCCTGGGGCTGGATCCCCATTCGTGCCGGACACAAAAGCGCTGCTTGGAACTGCAGGCAGCTGAACCAGGGCGGAAAATTTGGTCGGATGAAGGCAGAAAAACATCCTTTTCCAGCCGGCACAGACCACTCCTGCCTCTATCCTTGACCAGATTGCTTGTTGAACAAGCTCAGGAAAACGCAGTAGACTTCGCCTTTATCCCAACATCTATACAAACGCAACGTCGGATAATGAAAAGATTCCTCTTACATGTACCGAGCGGAAATTTCTTTCATTTCAGGGAGAATTTAGGTACATGTGAAAGGAAAACCTGTCACTATGTATATGCAAAGGAAAATATTGTGAAACCGGGAAAGCTGACATAGCAGCTTCACAAGTAGAACACCAAGATGCTATCTTTGATCGTCCTCCCAGTTGTGCTTAGCAGTATATAAGCATCGCAGTGCCATCTGCGCAGGGCCAGCAGCAAAACAAAAGTTTCACATGGCAGCACAAACATCCTCGGCGGCTTTTGCAGCTCGGCAAGAGAGCTACTGGAGCGTTTGTTCTTGTTCAGACAGGAGATGTCAAATTGGGAGAGGTCGAAAATACTATAAGAGCTTAGTAAACCTCGAAGGGAAATATCCAACTCCTGTTTCACTGCCGAGTGCTTCAAGAGCACTCCACAAAGACCAAAATTAGCTCCGTATTGCTGCTAGAAGTAGTGATTAACTGCTATTTCGAGTAAAATTAAGCACATTTTGATCAGTGTGCTAACGTGCAAGCCTCTGCTGCAGGTTCAGAGCTGGTTTTTGGGCAAAATAATTCAACCAGTACAGTGTGATTCACGCATGTAGCTGAGGGAATCGTGCCAAGATAGACATTCGGTCACATTGAAAGGTACCTTTCTATTAAAACGTATTTAGTTCCACTGAGGCTTTAAAAGTAATCCAAGGTAGCACAGGCAGAACATTGCACTTGCCATCAGAAAAACAAGTTCTTCCCTTCCCGGGCAGTGCAGTTTAACAGGGGCTAAGTTTGAACAGAGAGGAGGTAAAACCTGTGGCTGACTGGGATGAGAGGATGAACCATTTGCTTATTTTCAATAATAAATCGGAGTCAAATAAAGAACAGCAAATGTTTTCAAGACAGGCAACCAAAACAAATCACTTCAATTTCTAGGTGGTTTTTTTCCTCCCTTTGTTATTTGAGTGTGCCATACTGTACTGTTCACTGAAATCTTTGGTACACCCAGAATTACTTCCCACAAGAACAATATGTTTGTCTTTTAACACCACATTATCAACAGAGGTAATTTGCTACTTTTCAATGAATTATCCCTTTTTATTTGTTTATTTCTTTGATCAGCTATAAATGAAAGTTATTCGTGTATATAAAACTGAAGTTTTTACTGTTGAAATTGAACTGTACATGTTTACTACAGGAAAAAATATCAACTCTTGTTTAACAAGACATATACATCAATAAGCAATAACCTTGTGGAGGATTTGCAATCACCTGGTCTATAAAAACAAGCAGGACAAGTAACAGCAATTTATATGCAAAAGTAATGATTTAATGACTATAAGCAAGACAAAGCAATAAGAATTGTGCTTCTTTTGCAGACTGGAGACAATGAAATGTTTAACTACAATTTTTCCGTACAAACATGAAACAATATCCATATAGAATAAACACCCTCACAAATGTATAACTGATGGGTGATGAACACACACAAAGTTCGACCAAAGCAAAGCACAAACTGAAAAGTGTTCTGGGCTGTTCATACTTTATGGTGGAAAAGTTCCTCCTATTGAAAAAACCCCACCCATAGAAGCCTCTAATAAAATGCACCTACTTGCAGGCCATTAAAGAGAAGGCATTCTCCACAATTTATTGGAAATATTAAAGTACCAGTTAAATTTTAATGAAGTTAGTACTGTACCATATACATATATATTAAAACAAATTTAGATAAAATGCCTTCATCCAGCCACTTGCTGGTTCCTTAAAATTTATATCAAACAGTTTATGGCTTCTATAATGATTCCATGTGCTTTTAGAAACACAGTCCCACCACACCAAATAATAAAAAGGTAATCAAACAGGTCTAAAACTTCCATGTCTCTTGATTTCTTTTTTTCACTGTATCACTTCAACATTTGGTAAAGTAAAAATATTCCACTTGGAAGAAAAAAAAAAAAAAAAAAAGACAAAGCAAGTAAAATTCTTTTAAGATTGCCAATTGCCTCCAGGTTATCAGAGACTTGAATGTGCTTCCCCAATACTGTAGCTCTCACACACAACGTGTTTCTTGCAGTATGAGCAAAGCTCAAACAGGCGGCATCTGCAAGGGTCGAACCTGTTTAGAAATTTAACAACCATATCATGAGTGCATGAAACACAATATTTTCTTTATAGTATTTATAAATATATCATACAATACTGTTTCCTGTTATGTCATATACCAATATGGCATTGTACAATAAGCATAATGCCATCTGATTCTTACAAAAGCGAATCATTTAAACAAGTCAGTAAATAAAACGGTAATACCCGCTTTTAGGCATACAGATTGTAAAACTGAAGTTTTCTTTTGATCGGTTCTGCGCAGCAACAGAGAAGTAAAAGATGCAACATAAGAATCAAAATGGCTAATACGCAAAAATTGTTATTCACAGTGACATGGCTACATATATGCATTTTTCTATGCATATTCTTTCAATTTTGTTGGATTTCAAGATGAAAAAGCACTTGCTTTCTACAGGTTCACAAAACAGTATAAGAACAATAACAATCGAAGAGAACGCAATGGAGGAGTTAGTCTGGATTAACAAACTACTTCCCAGGATTTGTATTGACTTCTGGAGACTCCTGGCTTCAGATGATGGAGACAGAAACAACTCCACATCATTCAGAACAGGTGAAGGTGTAACTTTCGTTTGTTTCCCAGTCCTCTGAAAAATTTACATTTCAATCTTGCGTTTCCAATAACGTCCATCCTGAATGTCACCTAGTCCGCCTTTTATAGCCAAGTTCAGTGTTACTACAAAAGAAAGCAATTTGGATGATAGTCACATGGATTAGCATCTATAAAGCTGTAATGGCATGGAGAGACCTATATAAAGGAGGGGCGAGGGTGGTAGCCTGGTTGGCACATCAACCAGATGAAGTGGCTGAGGAGCCATTTATTGATGTTTTCCGAGCTCTGTTGGTAAAGGAGGACTGGTGGTTACTGCTGGGGCTGCTGCTGGTGCCATTCATGGTGCTGGAGATGTGGGGGAACTGGGGGTGAGGAGACTGGACTGGTGTGCTGGGGCTGGGCAAACAGGAGGAGGTGGAGGGGATGCCTCCTGCTGGGCTGCTTGCCTTGTCGCTCCCAGAGTCACTTTCCAGCTCCCCACTATTATTCAAGCCTTCCCTCTGGTGACTGATCTTCATCCTCTTGCAAGTGGGTCGGACCCGGTATTTCAAGGGCAGAGGCCCATTCTGCAAAGCAAAGGGGAGACCCTGGTAAGTGCCCTGGCCAGGCCATGGCCTGCACCCTCCCGGGAGGCACACTGGAAATACTCACCCGCCTCCAGGTATAGATGTAGGCAATATCCATTAGGGTGTAGTAGTCCTTCAGAGGCTCCTCTTCATACATCACATCGATCTGTTCAAGATATGAACCCTTGCATTAAGGAGCATCCAGGCACTTACCCCTAGCACACGACTGCTCTGAGGTAAAAGTAGCCCCACTGTCACAGATATCACAAATACATCAAGAAGCAATTTCTTAATACTTTGGTATTTACAGCACTGAAAAAATTACAATGCCACCAAACTCTACAGACAGATATTTTAAAAATAAACCAAATAATGTATAGCACACACCAGAAATACTTGGCTGTTTCCACTTGCTGGGACTGGCTATAATGAGAAAAATGAGTCCTACCAAAAACAACACCCGAAAACCCCAAACAAACAAACCAACCACACTTTCCACATGGGTACCTGGAAAGTGTTAGGTATATCCATCTTACTCCGCAGGAACTTTCTTAGATGCATCACTGTCATTGCTGCTGGGCAGCGCAAGTATCTTTTGTCATTCACCTAGTGGCACAGTAAAGAAAATCAGTCTACTGAGAATGCATGATACTCCCACCAACGTTGTATTCCAGCATTTCATGTTGAAAAAAGTGCACCTTACTAAATTATCAACTGTAATATAACAATGCCTGCTGTCTTGGAGGGCACATCAAAAAGAAGCAGCAAATTACAGCTCTAGAGAAAGTAATTTAAAATTGTAACTAATTAAATGTAATACAAATATTTACATATGAATTATCTTTTTAGGGTACATACGCAATACATATTGTTTTTTAATAAATTACTGAATATTTTTTCCCAAACTTTGACAAAAAATCAGATTCTGCATTAAAAATAATACATGGGTATTTTGAATTTTTAAAAGTTGCCTGCATATACAGCTGTATGAAAATGTTTTACCTCTTCTGTACCTAGTGCCATGATAGGATGCATGCTTCCTTTATTCTAGACACACATACCTACATATTTTTCTCAGCTACAGACCTGCCCCAAAGTTGTGTGTGTGATATGTTTCCCCTGGAGTAAAGGAAAGATTTTTACCTCTTCCTTTGACTTTTCTTTCTCCTTATTTCCTTTTCGCTCCAGTCTGTGAGAAGAAATTACACAATTACTACAAATAATAAAGACACATGCTATCAAATAGGTAAACATAAAATTATAAAATTTTGCCATTCTGGAACTTGCCTATTCTGGTCAAAGAATTCAATGGATAAGCTTATTATCTCATCGTCTGTTATAATTCTTTTGTCTTCATCAGCTACTTCTCCTCTGTCTTCATTAGAGCCATTGGCAGCTGCACAGAAATTTCCACAATAATTTATATTTTGAAATTCAAATCAGGAAGAATTGCAATTCTCAGTAACAAAAAAAAATCTTCACAGTAAGATAATGAATGAAAGCTACCTGACTGTTAAAACAATAAACTTTTATTATGCTGACTTTACTTCTTAAAATACTGTGACGGTAATACATCACTTGTAAGTTAAAAAGGAAACAGTAAAACATCCAGCTCAATGCCACACATATTAAAGTTGCGAACGAGAAGCTTTTACCATCAGCCGACGGATGAGCAGCATAAAAATCCCTTCTTCTTTTCATTTCATCTAGATGGAAAAGCATATATTTTTCTTTTAGTAGTTACTCTGTAACTCACGGTATTGATAAAGGATAGCGGCTCTGGTTTGGTTTTTCTGCTCTTAATAAAATACCTGATTTAACTACTTACTTTTGAAAAGGCCTGGTACTAGCTTGTATACAATATCCTGGAGAGTTTTATCTGACCTGAAAGAAGAACAACCCCACAACATAAAATTAAGCAGATGAAGCAATATTTTAATCCAAATGGCAGCTCCTCACTTATGAATTTTCACAACAATGAGGCATCTTCTACAAAGTGAGAGGCCAGTCATAAAAAGTTAACTTACAGGACCTTGTAATCAAACTAACCCTGCTCTAAATACCACTCTGAACCAAAACTCATCCATATTACCACAACTGAAAAAGAAGTCTCTCAGACTGAAGGAAGGCATTAAATCTTCTTGTCCTTCCTAGAAAGTGCAGAGAGCAAAATGCAGTGCTGACAACAAAAATATTTCTGAAAGGCAAATGATATTTTAAAGGCTTTTTGCCTCTTAGTTTGGAAAGTTGCAGCAGGAGTTTTCATGACTAGGAGCTGTGGTGGGAGTGATGCATGTCTTGGAGATACAGAAAGTAGGGGCAAGAACTATCGGATGGTACAGCAGAATGTGGGAGAGGGAAGAGGCATCAATGACCGGTCTATGCTAAAATAGGCCAACTAAAACATCTAGAGGCATCTTCAGTTTCAATCAGTGAAGAAACTCCAAAGAGACCACATACACACGAGGTAGCTTGTAAATTGACAAGCCCTTTCAGATTTAAATTGCAGACGAAGAGATAACATTGACACCGACTACTGCTGGTCTCCTCACATAAAGCAAAAACAGAGATAGAGAGATGCAATGCGCACTTCCCAACTTTCTCCTACCTTATATTCAAAAGCGGTCGAGTTTTGTGAACTTGGACATCACAGATAGGACAATACTTGCTGGTCTCCAAGTAACGCACGATACAGGTCTTACAAACTGTAAGTCAAACACCACAGGCTTTTAGAGATGCTCCTAGGTGCCGCTCAGATATGCATAGATAAAGGTGCGATTTTCTAAACTATGCAAGCTAGAGCAAATCGTCCATTGTCAGCAACACGCTGCTTAAGCTAAACAACTACCCAAATAAGCTGCAATTACCATGAAAAGGAGACGCTTATGGCACATATATTATTACTTTAACAAAGACCGTAGGGCCGTCCTCAGAAAATCTGCACCGCGGCTGGAACACCTACTTCCCCTCTCGTCGGGGAGGAGGAGGGCGTCGGTCCCGAGCCCCTCGGGGGGTTTGGGCTTGGGAGGATTTTTTTTTTCCGTGCGTGTTCCCGGGATGTCGGGAAAGGAGGGAAGCGGCGGGTGAAAAACGCGGAGCGCCCGGTCGTACTTACAGGAGTGGAGGCACTCTATGATGGTTGTTGCATCAATGAAGTACCCGCCGCAGAGCACGCACATGAGATGGGGGTTTAGCTCGGTTATTTTGATTCTGGTTGTTCGGTGCATTTTGGCGTGGCGAGGAGCGGCTCTGAAAGACACACACACACACACAGAGGACCGGTCAGCGGGGCCAAGCGCGGCGGCGTCCCAGGTGCCGCGGTCCGGCGCATCCCCTTCCCCCGCGCATCGCATCGCATCCCCCGGCGCAGAGGAAGACCGAGCGCGGAAGACGAAGGCGGCGGCGGCGGCGCGGGGCCGGGCGGCGGGCGAGGGCCGGTCCCGAGGCCGGCGGGGCGTCCCCGCACCGCACCGCCCCGGGCCGGCCTGGGCGCAGCCCCGCGGAGGGGCGGTCGTTCCGCGGCACCCACCGCGCCGTTCCCCGGCGGGCACGGGCGATTCCCGCGGCGCGGCGGCACCGGCCGGCTCGGGCCGCGCGGGCGGCTCGGCGGCGATGCGGCGGGGAGCTCCGGGGGCGACACGGCGGGCACCGGGCTGCCGGCGAGCAGCACAAAGGGGAACCAGCGCCTCCCGGTGCGGCTGCCCTGGCATTTCCGGAGCGCGGGGAGGGGCGGCGGGGGGAGGGACGGAGGGGGGGGACACACGCACCTCGGAGCGGGGCCGGGCACCGGGGCGGCGGGGCCGGCCCGCCGGGGGGGTCCGGGCGGCTGCCGCTGCGGCTCGGTGCCGATCCGGATCTGCTCCGCTCTCCGAGGGGGTTGCTATAGCAACTTACACTTACACTTGGCATCCTGCCACCGCTGGGAACACACGAGAGCCGGGCGGGGGGCGGCCGGGGGGGCGTGCCGGGCCGGGCCGGGCCGGGCCAGGGGGTGGGACGCGGGGCCCGGGGGCTGGCGCTGGGGGTGGAGGAGCCGAGGAGCCCGCGGGGGTCTGGGAGCCCGGCCGCGAAGGGAGGGGAGGGGGAGGGCGGGAGCGGCCCGGGCGGGTCGGGTGGCACAGCCCGAGGGTGCCCGGGCGCGGTGCGGGGCGGCCCGGCCGGCGGGGGCGGCCCCGGGCTTCGGGGTCTCAGCCTGGCGGCGGCGAGTGCCAGAGGCTCCTCCCGAGCCTCGGCCATTTCGGATCCTCTCAGGGGCCTCTCTCCACGTCGACTCGGTGCGAGGAGCTGGTCTGAGATAGCTCCTCTCCCCCTCCGCTCCCTCCCTCCGGCGAGCAGAACCGCGCCGCGCTCCCGGACCGAGCCCCCTGCCCCGCCAGAGGGGTGCCGAGCCCCAGCTCCCGCTCCAACGCGCCGGCATCCCCGCTCCCTCCTTCTCTGCTCTCCTCACTTCTCTCCTTCCTACCTCTCTCTCACTCCCAGCTCTCTTTCTCTCTTTCTTTCCTTCTCCCACCTTTTGACGCTTGTTTGAAAATCATCCCGCGGACGAGGCAAGCGCGGTGCAAAGTTTTGCAAAAGGTGTAAAAGAGATTTGCATCACCAGAGTAAGGTGCTCGGACGGGAGAAAACGAGTCTCCGGATACTTAAGTAACCCCCCTTTTCAGCAATAAAGCTCACCGAGAAGGGGGAAAAAGCCCAAACCGGCTTTAAACGGTACATTAGTGACAACATGCGAAGGACCATGTGACCAGATCATTCCTAAAGCTAAATCAACACCTTGTCAACACAATGCAGAGACAAGAGTGAAAAACAAATGTCATTTTCATAGTCTGAAACCCATAAAACCCCATTGCATGCACTGGCACCAACGCTAGATGCATACACACTGTTTAAAATGAGAGGGGATAACAGATAAAGGGAAAAGCACACACAGGGAAAAATTCCTGTCAGCCACGTCAATTGTAGAGTAAATTATTTTCTGTCAACCAGATCCTGAAAAATGTAATGTAACAACGTTGCTCCACTCCAAGCTATTAATTTCCCCAGGTCAGTGCTCCCAGCACACCAAATCCTGCCCCTGGTCCCCTCTCCTCCCGAGGCAGAGCTTGCGAGCCACCTCTCACCGCAGCACCGAATGCTCAATATGCGAGCAGCCACTCGCAAACTTCAATGTTAGGCAGCGGGAAGAAGGGGAAAAAAAAAAAAAAAAAAAGGGGGAGGAAAAAAGTGGCAACACAGTAATGTTTCTAAAAAGCTTTGAACGTCAGCCAAACTGACCAGGACAGGGGTACAATATTCGTCAGAAGTGTGCACAGCGCCAACGAGCGACCCCGACCAGGAAACTTCTCTTGTTGCTGCAGGAGAACCCTTGAGTGAACAGCAGATAAAACTCCCCAGCATCAAACCATAGCCGGCCAACACAAAGAAAAGCAAAATTCCAGAAGCACCAAGCCCGACCAGGTCCCCAAAGCTGTTCCCAGCACCGTGCGGGAAAGCAAGACCCCCGCTGCATTGTACTGCGGTTTAAATGTCGCTTCCAGGGTCCCTGACCCTCCGCTTCTTCCTTTTAAACTGATACCGGGGTTTTGCTTTTCCCAGAAAAGGCAGAGACGGAGTTTCTGCACGCCTCTCTGAAGAGCCCAGCGCCCTGAAGCCGGCGGCTCTGGAGTCCCTTTAGGTACTTACACATGGACAGCTTTCACGGTTCTGTGTTTTATTTGTTCAAGGCACTACCTTATAATTCATAAATATCTAAACCAAAAAAAAACCCCAGCAGTGACCGAGGTCAAACAAGTCGGCTGACCGAGAATTCCTTCCCAGCCCTGACAGACTGGGACAAACCTTTCAAGACATTAACGCGTTTATTTCACGCAGGCGAAGCCCCTTCCTAAATGGAGGGGGATTAAATTCAACCGTGAAACCTGTTTTGTCGAAGCAACCCCTAAATGCGGATTATTTATTGCCAAAAGTTAGCACATTTTCAACGTGCTATGAGCTATCTTGAAAATCAGTGATTTTCCCCAGCGAGCTGAACTAGGCACTTAATTTCTCCCCAAAAGCCACCCGCACAGGCACACGCGTGTCTGTGCCTGCGGGGAGGTAACATGAACGCAGCACATTTTACTACATCAGCCTGAGTTTAATATCTTGGTACGAGGGAAACCCTTTCAGATGTTTTTTCTGCTCCTGCTGATCGCACGGTGAATGCCAACACTTCACAGAAATACAAACAGCCTCTTAGCCAGGACAATATATATTTACACATTGACACATGGAACAACTAAACGTAAAATATATGTGGATAATACCTGCTACAAGTAAACACTGCCAGCCAGCCGATTATACAGAGGCCTTAAACAAGTTATGTCAAAATGAAGAAAAACAGAAGTGCATTCTCCTGCTAAGAATCAGCTACATTATTAAAAATCCATAAAGGCAATAAGCTATCAAACCTTGTTCGACAGGTCACTAACAGAAAATACATACATAAAAAAACAGAAGCATCGCTCGGGTAGGTTTGTGTACTTTGTACCCATCTCCTCTCGGAAAACTCTCATCAGGAATAAAGCAGCCTTCATTCTACATCTTCACCCATTATCAGCCAGAGCCACTTGTACTATCGAGCCTGTTATTACTCCTTCGCTTAAGAATGGCCACATATGTTTTAAAGGAGAGGACAGTAGTCCATTCAGAGGAGGCACACGAACCTCAAGTATCTCTTCGCAACTCGCTGCAGCGAGAAAAGACCTGAATATTGGCAACAGAGTGCCAAAGGACCCCAGTCTCTCAAATCGCCTCCCTGGGACTAGGCGCAAGACACAATCTATCTACTTTTAAAAATACACTAAAATGTTAATTTTGTAATATCTAAGCGATCAGGTAGGTCAAGACTTCGTGTCTCTGGCGAAGTGCAGCACAAGTCTCAGTCCCCAGGACGGGCTGCACAGAGTCACTCAAAGTAGTTTCACTGGACTGTACTGAACGTCCCTGGTCTTAGGGACAGTCCCACAGCAGAAACTGCTCTCACCACTACAGACTACGCAAAAAAATTCTTTTAGCGACAAGCTTGCAAATGGGCACACATGCCCAGGTTTTCTTCGACTTTCCTGGAGAGTGGAGGAGTGAACCAAAGTTTTTAGAGGCTGAAAAGTTACTGCCTCACTTTTATGGAAATGCGATTTTTTTTCTTGCTTATTTTCACCTGATTATTTGCAAATGTTTACAGCAGACACCCAGAAACATCCCGCTTTATATATTGCCAAGGCCATTCAATTATAAAAACATAACACCAGCAACTTTCAAGTGCTGCCCATAAGCAGCACGAGGAGCCCACTCGTGACATCTTTAAGATCTGACAAAAGATTTCATGTAAATTTACCCTTCCCGGGGCTCAGGGTAAAAAAAATACCAACCAGAGAAAAGAAATTCACACACACCACCCCCCCTCCGCGTCCCGCAGACACATCACCTTTGCTCCAAAGGCTCCAGCAAACCGCTCGCCCCAGCTCCCCAAGACCGCATTAAAAGTGCTACCCTTGCCCCCCCAAAAAGTTATTTCTCGGCGTTGACCACCCCTTGCCTCTCCCAGTAGGCACAAACCCCTAAAGTTCAGCATTTAGAGCAGAAATGTAAGAGGAGACATTGGAAACAACTGGGAACCGCCATCTTACAACCCATCCAATTTCACAGAAGTACTTGTCCAACTTAAGTTAATAACATTTTCTGCTGGGTGCCCCGGCGCCTAACAACCCCCCCATGAGGATCGCTACCCCCCACTGGCTCCGTCTCTATAAAATGGGTGCATTATCTGACATTTTAACCCCCCCCAGACACATTTCTTTCGGGGAGGACTGAAATCACTTGACCCAGGCAGCTCCAGATTTCACGAACGTCCCTGTTTAATCAAAATCTGCCTTTAAACAAAGGGCGCTCGGGCCGGGCTGGCAGCAGGGTCGGGAAATATAAATATTCTCCTCGGGGGCCATGTGCACAGAAAGGTTTTAGGGGGCGTCTGGAGAAAGAAAGGAACTAAAATTTGCAAATGTGGGTGCGTAACGCGAGCGAGTGCACAGGCTGCTGCTGCTGCGTGTCTGTATGTGTGTGTGTGGCTAGAGCAGCCTGTCAGCGCTTTTCCCATACGGAGAGCTCGGGGGACACCTAGGCGCCCCTTTGCAGCCCCCAAACCGGCCGAAAACCGCCGCCGAGCCCCCTTCGCCCCCCGCCCTCGGTAAGGCGACACCTCGCTTCATACGTACCCGGAAAACGGAGCCGGTTGGTGATGATCGGAGCGGCCAAAAAAGACAATGAAAGTTAAAAGTCGTTCAGCAGAAAATGAATGTGAGCCAAGCGGCCATCTTGAAATGAACTGCAGACGCTGTCAATTGCAATAAGCTTATTGCCGCCGCCGCCGCTGCGCTCCGCTCATTTTAGTTACAGAACGCCCGGGTCTCCTCGGCTGCTCGCGGGCCCTTCTCGCTCGCTCCCTCGCTCTCTCGCTCCCTCCGAGTTGGCCGCCCGGGCGGCTCAGGCGCTGCGAGCGCACAGTCTCCCCGGTCCGGATGGGTCCTCTCTCCACCAGCCCATTGTCTCTCCCTCTGCCCCCCGCTCCGCCTCGCGGCCTCTCTCGCGTTCCTTCTTTTATTATTATTGTTATTATTACGAGTATTATTGTTGTTGTTATTTCATAGTTGGTGGCGGGGACCCGGGGAGGGAAGGAGGGCGGGCGGGCGGGCGGGCGGGAGGAGGGCGGAGGAGGGAAGAATGCAACGCTGAAGGCACACAGTGGAAACTGACACCGTCCCCAAAATGGCTCGGAGTTCGCCCGCCCCGCCAGCGTCACGTGGGGCGCCTCATTCCTTAAGGGCGGCCTGGGAATTAGCGGCGCTGCCGCCGGGGCCCGGCAGCCTCCCCGTGACCCAATCCCGCAACCCGGCCGCCTCCTCCCCCTCCGCCTCCCCCCTCGCTCCCTCCCTCCCCTCCCCCGCCCGCCACCCCCTCCCTTCCCTCCCTCCTCCTTTCCTCCCTCCCTCCCCTCCCCCCGGCCCTGCACGCGCTCGCCCGCGCGCCGCCGATGCCTCCTTTTCCTCCTTTTCCTCACCGCCCGCCCCGACCCCCGGCCCCGCTCCGCGGCTCCCGCCCGCCGCAGCCACGGCGCCTCCCGCCCTCCTTCTCCGCGCTCCCTCCGCCCGCGCCGCGGCTCTCCTTCGGCCGCCGCGCCCCCCGCCCTGGCCGGCGCTGCCCTCTCCATCCTGGCCGCGCCGCAGCCCCGCAGCCCGCCGGCTCCCCGGCCCCACACGCCGCCCGTCGCCCTGCCCGCGCAGCCCTCGCCTCCCTCCGCGCACTTGTTGCGCGCTCCCACCCCCGCACGCCCCGTCCTGCCGCGCGGGGACCCCGCGGGGACCCGCACCGCGGCCTCGCGCCTCCGCCACCGCGTGCGCGCAGCCGCGCGCCCCTCGGCCCGCCGCGCCCGCCCGGGGCCGCGCGGAGCCGCCGCCGTCGAGGCAGCGCGTCCCCTCGAGGGCGCGCGGGCGCCTTTCCGCCCCGAGCGGCGGCGGGAGCGGGTGGCGCGGGGTCCTGCGGGGTCCGCACATCCCGCGGGCAGACGGGCGGCCCCGGAGTGGGGGAAACCCGCGCGGTGCTCGCCTCCGGCGAGAGTAAGACGCCGCCCGCCGCTCGGGCGCTGAGGAGCGGAGAGGAAAATGCTCCGCCGTGAAGGACCGGCCGCCGCCGCGCATCCTCCGCGGGGCCGCTGTCCCTCGGCGGCAGGTGCGGGCGGAGCGCGCCTCGGAGCCCCTCCGCAGCCGCGGGCGGGAGCGAGCGGAGAGCAGCGCGGCCCGGGGCGAGCCGGAGACGCCGGCAGCAGCCGCGCCGTCGAGCCGGAGCCGCCACCCGGCTCCGCTCCATCCCGCCGACTCTGCCGGCTTTCCGTGAGGCGCCCCGGCTCCACAAGATTAAACCGAATCCTCTCTCGCCCCCCGCGCCGGGGTCCGGCTTCTCCTCGTAGGAGAGATGTAAGATCGGCTGCAAGCGACAAAGCGCGGCGGGCGATTCAGCAGACGCGCCGCAGCCGCGGCACGGGAAGAAGGCGCTTTTGCCTCACTGAGCTGATCTAACGTTTAGCATCTTACTTTTAGGTACAGCTAATTCATCCATAGAAATTGCACAACAGGCACGAATAAACCTTTATTAGATCACAGAGAAAAATAAGCAGTGACAGTTGTAAAAATATACAAAATAAGATAGAAGGAATACTTTGATGACACGACAGTTCAGCAAATATTTAGCAGGAGTTAATAATAAAAAAATTACATGAGCAAGGAACACCCAGTGCAGATGTAAAAAAATTCATTTATTTCACATCCAAGGATGTAAAAAAACCCCAGTTTGCATCAAGAGATGAAAGACATTTGTCATTTAGGAGACACTTAGGAAGGAGAGTGCTTCAGCAGGCTGACACCTTCCTTCAATCACATCTGAGTCGCACGTTCTAGACTTTTTGCAGCATCTTTTAGCTTTCCCACTAAGTCCTAAGAGATGAAATAGTGTCTTAGAATAAGCATATTTTTTAAAGGTCAACTAGAAGAACAGGGTATTTTTTTAAAACAGAGACTCAAGTGAAACCAGCACCTTGTAGTACAAAGAAGTGTTGCAACTGTTGAACAATGCAAGCAAATAACTAAAGAGCTCTGTATTTTACAATGTAGTCAGAAAAGTAGGAACTGAAGGAAAACTATTTAAAATGTATTTTCTCCTAAAATAGATCATTATTATTTACACGTAGATTTTATTGGTACTGCCACAATGGCTAATGCTGACATTTGCTTCCAGCTTTGAAGTACTACATGGATTTCTAAAACACTGAAAATATTTTGGGTGCAATTTTGTACCAGGACCATTCTCCAGCCAAAGCACATCAGATTTCGCTATGCCAGCAAACCAACTAGAAACACTCATTACTGACAAAAGGACAGCTTTTGAGACACACTTAAAAAGAGGAGGTGTAAACCTTAAGTTTTAATATCTTGCTTTTCCTCTCCCACCAAGCCCTCTTCCCGATCCTCCAGAGTTTGGTCACTTCCAAGCATTACAATACCTCTATTGTTCAGTTACACATTTAAATCGCTAAACAAAGATCAACGTTTGTTTCAGGACATTTCTTACATGTCATTAACACCACTGAAGAGCCTTCAGTTCCTTCTCTATTTTTAATCATGACACATTTAAATCACTGAACTAGCTTCTTTAATCATTTCTCTAAAGCACGGGAAATCAGAGTTTCAGAAAATGATGAGTTTCCTCCCACATATACATATGGATTACAGTTATGAAAACAGACAAAATATTTATGCACGTATGTAAGACACTCCCCACGCAACTGCATTCAGTTACTTTCCAACTTTATTTGAAAAGACAGTAAAAATACACTTGGATAACCTTTATGGAAAACTCTCTTACCCTCCCAGTATTGGATTTTTTTTAAAGTAATAGTGTATATTATTTAATTTTGATTGGCAATTTGTTAAAAGCATGGACATCCACAACTGGGGCTAAGCACAGAAAGATAAAGGAAACAAGTACCTGTAATTGCTCCATTGTACAACTAAAACTAACATCTGGGTGTGATCCTGAATCACTGTTCTGAAGGGAAAAAAAAAGGAAAGAAACAGCAATGTCAATTGTATTTAAAAAATATCTTGAAATTGCATTTTTTCCTTTGAGGGTGCTGGGAGTACAGTACCTCTACATTTAAGGTCACCAAATAGGAAGGCTGATAAGTTTTATGAAGTTGATTGTTCTAAATTAAAAACAAAGAACATATAAAAAAGCCAGGTCTCAGCATTAAAACAGACTAAAGAAACCTTAATCTGTTAAAATTACCTTGATCTGATATTCCAAGCGCCAAGACACGTCAGTTATATGGAGAGGAGATCTGCCTATGCTGGAAGACACAACAGTTACAAGTCCTCTATGCTAAAAGAAAAGGTCATTTTCTCAAGCTGTCCATCAATAAAGAACTTTTCATGATCCTGGTAATGCTTCTTGGGAAGTTCTAAAAGGTTATTTTAGAGTAGAATTCCAAATGAAGAAAAGTTTCAATAGCTGTTTTCTAGAGTTTGCTAAAAATGCACTTTATTTTTTAATGCCACAATATTACTTACTTTCATCACCTAAAGTATGCAGAAGTGTTTTCCAGGACAGTTTCAAACTAACTGTAAGGGAAACCATGTCTCTGCTGAGTGATTCACCTACCTTCCCAATAGGATTTCCAATGCATCCTTGTTTTTCTGAAGCAAGAGATTAAAAAAAAATTACTGGGTTCAATAAATTCCTATGAAATAAGAAAAATTAATATGCTAAAGTTGGTTTAAAAACCTGGTATTCGGTGCAAAATTGTTCTATTCTCTCTTTATCCAGTTTGCAGTCTTCTAGGCACGTGCTACAGGGAAAAAGAATTTATTAGTTTTCTGTGAACATAAACTCAGCAGTACACTTCTAAGTAACAACGGCTAGAAAAATGGTGTAGCTTCCAAGTATGAGTACCTTATAGCAGATATGTCAGCTTTCTGCTTCCCTGCCTCCAGAATACACATTGCAGCCGCAGCATGGCAATGTTTTAATACTGTAGGGTCAATATCTTTCAGGTCTGGATCGTCTAAAATAAATGAATTACTGATGACACACTTATTTCCCAAACCCCAGCACACGGTACCAAAGGCTGCTGCTCGCCCTTTGAACGCTATCTTTCCCACAAAAACGTCAAAATGAAACACGTTTGGTGTTTCAGAGCGAGAGGACAGAGCAAGCAGGCAAGGTGCGAGGAGGCGGAGGGGAAGGTGAGGGGCCGAAGCACCGGCTGGGGCAAGCCGTGCCAGGCGGGGCTGTGCGGCGCTGGGCGCCCCGCCGCCCCCAAGCTCCTTCCCGTTAAAAAAAAAATAAAAAAGGGGAAAAAAACAAAAAAGGAAAGAAGGAAAACCTCAGTTTCCTCTGCGAGCCCCGTCCGCGATCACCAGCAGCCTCTTAATGGCGAGAAGCGGGGCTGGGGGCACCGGCCGGGAGGGACACCGGGACCGCCCGCCCGCCGCCCCGGCCGGGCACCGGCGGCTCGCTCGGTCCGCGGAGGCGGCGGCGGAGTCATTAACGCCGGAAAATGAATTGCACGGCCGCGCACCCTCGGGCCGGGGCCGCCGCAGGACGCGTCCCCGCGCGAAAAGCCCGGCAGGATGGCAGCGAGGGAACACCCGCCCCTCAGCCCGGCCCAGCCCGCGGACACGAACGCGCGGGGACCCTTTCCGGCCCGTCCCCCTTACTTGGGACAGCGCGGAGCTTTAACGGAGCGGGCGAGCATTAGCGATGACACCCCGCGCAGCGGCACCCTGGAGCCGCCCGCGGGCAGGAGCCGCCCCGCGGGTGTGCGCGGACAGCGCCCGCTGCAGCGCGGACACGCGCGGACATCCGCGGGGACGGACGGAGCCCCGCGCCCCCCTGCGCGCCCCGCGGAGCGGCGCGGCCCGCACCCGCCGCCGCGGCACGCCTTACCCAGCGCGGCCTGCGGGTCATCCAGGAGGCTGCGGAAGGCGGCGCGGAGCAGGGCGGCGAACGGGCGGCGGGGGAAGCGGCGGGGGTCGCCCAGCAGCCGCCACCCGCCCTGCGCGTACGGCGACAGCTCCATTGTGGGCGCCGTGACCTTCGACACGCGCCCACGTGACGCGCGCGCAGCTGATCGCGGGCGCGAGGCGGGGCCGCCGCCGCCGCGGGGCGGGCGCGGGCGGGGCGCGAGGCGGCGGTGCCGGTGCGCGCCCGCGGAACCCGCGCGGGGCGCGCGCACCCCCCACACGGCCGCCGCCGCCGCCCTGCCCCGCCCGGCCCCGCCGCCGCCCTGCCCTCGCCACGCGCGTCCCCCTCGCTCCCTGCGGCTCGGAGTGGGAGGCGGTGCCGTTTCCGTGGGAGATGGATGCGCCGCCCGGGCGTGTTTTGGGGGGTAATTAGCTCCTAATGAGTCTTAAAAGTGCTCGTATCCCATGGAATCCCTACAGCGCTTGTGTCTCAGTCGATGTCTGACGTGCATGTGTTGGTGTGAAGCTTTACAGCCCAAAAATGTCGTGCGGAACAGAGCCTTATCCCTCCGTTACAGGGAATCACAGAGCCACTGAGGCTGGAGAAGGCGTTCGGGATCGCCGAGTCCATCCCTCGCCTCGGTAGCACCATACCCACCCAAGCGTAGCCGAGCGCCACAAGCTGCTCGGGGTTTCTGACATTTCCTGGGAGGGTGACTCCATCCCCTCCCTGGGGATCCTGTTCCAATGCCTAACCGCTCCTCCAGGAAAGAATGTTATTTTGCTTCTGAAACGTCTGTGGGTGTCATCAGATATTTCCCCCTCTCCCCAGGGTTATAGATTTGTGTATCAAGCCTCATTTTTACCTGTGGTTATGGCCAGCTGGAATGTGAACTTATTACTAAACTAATTCCTTTTGTCCTAGAGTAATTTTCTAGCCGGGATTGCTGTTGAATTTTGGCATTTTGATATACAAGTAATAGCTACAGATAGCCCAAACAGCCTTTTGTGGTGATTTAGGAAAGGTGTACAACTGCTGTCTGAAAACAATTCCATGAAAATCAAATAAATCCTTCACAAGGATGTTAGCATTTCATTCTATGTTAGCATTTCATTCTTTAAGTATTGAAACATTGCCATAATCCTCAAAAATACTCAAGTTTACTTAAGTAACTGAAAAGTAAACAATGAAATATTGTGTGGTTATATCTCAGCCAAGGACCAAATTAGTACTGATGTAATCAAAAAAGGTGAAGGCCTTAGTGTGTTACATGAATCATTAATCATGATGTATATGACCTTAGGAGTTCATGTACAGAAAATGTTTTAGATCTCATTTTTTCCCTCGTGTGTGTCTATTCTGCATGGTCAAGAATATTACTGTGTTACTTGGCATTCTTTATTGAACAAACATTTCTGCTGGACATTTCTTAAAGGGAAATGCAATGCTGAAAGCTACTCAGCCTAAAAAAACATGAGTAAAAGCTAAAGGCCTTTGCCAGATTCATTATTCTAAAATAATATCTATAGAATGTCAAAATGAACAAAAAATTTAATTTCTTCTGAACTTTCATGGTAATTGACTGGTAGCTAATTTAACCAAAAAGCTGTTTGGAATTTGTATCCATCACTCTCACTAATTACAGCCCACCATCTAAATGCTTGGTCCAGCTTTGGAGGCCAGCTCCAGCTTTGTCCTAGCACAGATGGTAAGATTAGACTTTATCAAATCTCACCACAACACCTCTTTGTGTTTATTTGAATTGTGCTACATTTGAGATCATCCGTCAACTTATTTTCTTTTTCTTTTTTTTTGGTGATTTTAATATTTTTGTGATATTAATTAATTAACATTTTTGGCAAACCCAGCCAGTGCATGCATCTCCTTCGGTATGGATGCAGGCTATCAAAAGGTTCTGCCTCCAGTTTCCTGCCTCCTGTGAGTTGTCTGGCCACTGTGTTACAAAAACACACATTTATATACCCAGGTCTTACTTGTGCCCAAATTAAGGTAAAGAGGAAAATCATACTGGCTGCAGGATCTCAGTTCTAACTCTCCTGTACAATATTAGGCCTCATGATGCTGTGCAGAATGAACATGGAATGTTTTAGAATACAATCTGAAATACTATTTCTGGCCTGATACATAAAAATTAATACCACTGAATTGAAAAACTGCAAGCTTGAGAGTCTGGCAGACAGAAGCCCCAGTCTTTTTTTTTTTTTTTTTTCATTCCCAGAAACAGGAAAGTGGTGGTGACAGGCAGGTGGGCTGACAAAATAAGGCTTTCTCTCTTTTTTTGGTGTGGATGTCAAATACAGACATGATACCTAAGAAAAGCCAGCATAAAATGGAGGAGAAGAAAAATCATAACATGGAGGGGAGGACAGAGTTCTGAGCTGTAGAATTACAAAGGTAAAGAGACCAGGGCTTTAAACAAGGGTTGTCACCTAAAATATATTAAAATGAAAACACAGGGTACGATTGCACATTACAGCAATTTCTTCTTCAACATCCCATTATCATTTATGGCATATTGAAATCTATAAATTAACCTCCAGCTTTAAAGGCGAAACAACTGCTCAAGAGTCATTGTAAGATTATGTAGTACATGTAACTCTCATCACAATTTCATCACAAAATTTATGTTGTCAAGTCCTCTACCCAGTCTCTCAGCTTGATGTTTTTTCTTTCTTTTCCCCCCCAAGAAAGCCATGAGATTGATTCAGATGGGAAGATTGCTCTGAGATTTTACTAGTTGTTTAGAGCATATACACATTTTAAAGAGCCGTTCATTAAAATTTCCTAGAGAAATCTAACCTGTATATTGAATACAGAAATTATGAAGGAAATGTATAAATATTGAATAATAATTAATCAGGAAAACAGACTACCTCAGCCCATGCCAGATAGTAATTTTTACAGCTTGAGCTTTGTTACTTAGAACAAAATAGTTCAAATAGAACAAAATGAAGGGAAATCATTAGCATCTCCAGAGGACTAATTAATAAAATTTAAACATTGGCATAATTATTTCTGAAAACTCTCAGAGATTAACATTTTTTAATCTGTGTATTGCTCTTCAGTTAAGAGACAGTAACATTAGATGATATTCTAACAGCAGTTTTCTGCCAAATTATTACTGAATTCCAAGAGTTTCTTCCACACATTAATGGAATGCCCCTTGAATTTTCTTTTAAGTCAGTATCAAGCCTTCTTTATTATAAAATATATTTTTCTGAATAAAATATTTTAAGCAGCTCAAAACATTAAAGATAAGTCAGTATTTTCTGCAAAAATTATTTCTTTCTGGATTAATATCTTTAGCATGATATCCAGATACCAGTAACTGACATGATCATAGAAATAAAGGAGTCTGCATATGCCAGAAAGTCCAGGAAAATTTCTCTCATAATTACAGGCACAAAAGTGCAGTATATTAAATAAAGTACTGCCTTGAACCAGGCAATTATGTGAATTATTTAATTGGTATGATTATTGTAGGCAGTCCTCATATTGCTGAAAATGCAGTACTTGTCACATATTAAAAAGAAAATATTTGCTTTCAGAAATTTTTGGTATGTATTAATTTCAATAAATGCATTGTTTGTCTAGACACAAGGACTATTCAATAAAACATGCTTTGTTTGCTTACAAATAGTTCTGATTAACAGTTAAGGAACTTAGCTTTTTATTTAAATATGTGAAAGCACTTGATTTATTTCGGTAAAATAAAACCTATAGTAGTTGAATACATTTTTTACCAAGTAGTTAATCTTTTTTGGTCTATTTAACATGAAAACCATTTTTTCTACTAGGTAGTATTTTTGGAGTTGAATGAGATTAATTTATTAAAAAATAAAGAGGTCTTATCTATTTACCTTTTGATTAGCTTTATTCAACTTCCTTTTATCTTATATTTGTCAAAACTTAAAGTCTTCTGATTTTCCCTTCATACATGAAAAAAGCCAGATATTCCTAGGCTGTAGGGAAAAAAAGGAAAAAATCTAGAGCTTTCACATTTTAATTTTACTTTTAAGCTATTGATATTTCAATCCTTATTTAAATACTCAGGAATAGAGGCAACCAGAGAAGTACCACTGTTTAAAACATTAGAGTTCTCCTGATTTCTTTTAATTCAGGAAAATCTTACATATTATAAAAGTTCCATTACCCTCTTATTTTATCAAAACACAAATCAAAACTCTAAAAATTTAGTTGAATCCATATTTTATAATTTCTTGCCAAATAAAAAAAAAATCACAGGGATAATTTGCATTCTTTATGTCCAAGATCATGCAAAAACCTGAGAAATAAAAAAAATGTAAAAAATCAGTGGATGTGAGCCAGAGTCACTGTGATGTACTAGACAGTACATCCTGCAGGATAGCAGCTTTGTTGTTTTCTGTGTTTTGACTTATTTTGAAGTCATTCTAATTAAAGTCCTGTATTTACTGAATTTTCAGTAGTTCTCTTTCTTTCTTTTTCTTTCACAAATATAAAAGACAAATAAAGCTATGTAGCTTTTAGTGCAATACAACACATAATGTGTTTGCTCTTTATTCAGATGAAACTCTGATGTCTTTGATTAAATTTGTGGAGGTTTACAAATGAGGCCTACATAGAGCATGCTACTTTAATGTCAGATGGAGAAATACAAACATTCCTGCTGCTTTACTGGAATTACTGCTGTAATTCCACCTCTAGTCCTGTGCCACAGATGAACAGTTTATCATATTCACAAAAATACTAGGAACTGCTTTTTAGTTGTTATATTGGTATTCTGTCTTTGTAAGCAACACTTATTGGAAGCAGGTCTTAAATGGAAATTTTTGCTCCTTTTCGAATGATCTAACATAATTTACAGATGCTTCAAAATTGAGGCAGCTCCCAGATACAGATGTCACACATTGTACCCCAATTTCTTTATTTCTAGCTTTATTTTGTAGATTTATTGAGAAAAGTCTAATCTGTATGTGAATTTTAACAGTAATGCAAATATAATTGAAAATTGTTAATGTTTAAAGTAAGGCTTTTTACATGTTTATACATGGGATGGTAAGATTGTAGCCTTGCTGGTGGAAACCTGTGAGGAGGATATTATGTTCTATTGTCAAGAAGCATTCACAGTCT